AAATCCGGAGCTGGAGTCCCGAAGGCAGCTCGTGTCGTTCTGCCAACTCCTGCGACGTTGCTGGAACCAGTCGTATTGGCTCTTGCCTTTCCATTGGACCATTTCAGCAACGTGGAGAGGGGGGATTTGCTGCTTGGGTAACAGCCTATCCTCCATATTACCTTACCCGGGCTTCATGCTCTGGAGAGGACACTCCTCGATTCAGAGCATGTTACCATAGTCTCTCGAGACTGAAGGATGCCTATGATGGCTGGCATCTTCAGAGGACTACAGTAGGAACTCTGTCCATGCTCTGTTGCTGTTGAGTATTTATAGCTGTGGGAACAGCTTTTGTCACATGTTCTAGATGGGTGGTATATAAATCAAGTAAGTAAGTAAGTAAGTAAGTAAGTAAGTAAGTAAGTAAGTAAGTAAGTAAGTAAGTAAGTAAGTAAGTAAGTGTAATATTTACCAAAGGACTGGATCTTATTGGATTTGCATAGCTTTTTTCCCTTGAACTCCTCTGCCACTGTTCCATGTTATATTTCAATACAGTATTCAGAATGATAAACATAGCAGAAATGAAATATTATTTAATGGGTAACCTTGACATTAGCAAATGACTGAATTTTTGTCTATTTGACAATTCAGTAGGGCGATGAATTAGAGATACACTGAGATAACAGCAGAAGTGCCTGGAAAGTAAAATCGATCTTGATTTTCTTCTAATCACCCTACAGTTGCGATATCCAAACTATGACTGCCAGGACTCTTTGGCAGCTCAGTTTAAAGTCCCCCTACCACAAAGCCCTGCTCAAGTGGGAGACACATTGAACCCTTTAAATTCTCTTTCTTTCTCCCCCTCTCTCTAGGGATATCACAGAGTGGTCAATTTTCTATTTTGTAGGAGCTTTATACTTATCTGTGTCCAACTAAGTTCAAGTTTGGATAATGGAAGTAAAAAAAAGTCCCATATGTTATATAGCAGTGAGATAACTGTGTAACCAAGGCACAAACCTATGTTTCAGAAACAAGTTAACATAAAGAAATATTACATCAGAGGCATAATGAGCCACATTTTCTAGTAAACATTTAAAATTATTTTTCCAGCATTTTCAGACATTCAACCAACAAAAAATTCTTTCTCCTGTCAATCCTGAAGAGATTTTTTTTAAGTAGCAGAAAGTAATGGAAAAATAATTTGCCATGGAACAATAAATTCAACGTTACCTTAAAAAATATTACAGAAGCTACAAAATACTTTTTAAACACTGTGAGAGATAACATGAAAAATTGCTTTCCAAAAGTACCTTCCATACTCTATTTCAGTTGCATATATTTATCACAAACAGCATAAGTCTCCCCGTTTCTCCTTGCAGACAGTAGCAAATCCAGCTGAGGGAAGCACAACTACATCGATATCCTTATCAAATCCAGAACTGGCACACAGATGTAGATTTGAAGATGTACACTATCCTAATGGTTTGTACCAATTAGTGCAATTCTATCTGAGAAAAAAATCCACATGGTTCCAGGTGAGGAAACTGGGTCGTTGTTTCAAATATATGTAACCAGTTTCCTTTGTTTACATTGGCTCTGCCTAAAGGAAGAATGCACACATTTTAGAACTAAACTCAATGGTTGGAGTGTTTTCTAAATCAGCAAAAAGCTAAGTTGCTGCAGAATGCAGATACTTTACTATGTACCTTAAGGTGAAAAGGAGACTCACTTTGGTGATGCCAGAAAGTAATGTCTTTATCCACAGCTGAAAACTGGATGAAACACTGCACTGCAATTTTGTTTATCTCTGCAACTTTGTTTAGAGTTCCCCTGACTGTACTTGACTCAAATGTGCTTCCCAATCTTGCATATGCAAATCATATGATGAGCTAAGGAAGAACTGAGAAATATCGTTGCTGCTTACTTCGTATACAAAATCATTGCTTTTAAAATTGCTTTATAGATTGAAAATGGAAGGTTGGATTTTTTAAAAAAATGTATGCAATGCAAGAGAGCACCGTTTGTGACCTGTGGATCACATGTGCCCTTCAAGGCGCTTAATGCACCTCATTATTCTTTTCTTTACTGTATTTTTTCTCTCTCCTATACTTTTAACAGCTGCAGGAGACTCAGATGCGTAAAAGCTACCTATTTCCTAAGAATGGGAACTTCACAAAATTTGAGGTGCTACATCAAAATCAAGTCTGCTGATGTGTTTTCTAAATCAGCAAAAAACTAAGTTGCAAGCATTCATTTTAGAGTAGAAAGTGGTCATACTCAGAAACACATAACATGTCCAGAGTCCAAACAGTGTGGAAGAGTTGCAAGCACTTGTTTCAAAGCTGAAAAGAGGGTTTTCAGACACAGAGATCTGCCGTCTGTTCAAGGTGGACACACATAGTTCAAGCAAATGAACAACAGAAAAGTGCTGCAAGCATCCATTTCCAGAGAGAGAGAGAGAGAGAGAGAGAGAGAGAAAGAGAGATGTTTCTAAGCTAGAGAGCATACTCCACGTACATAATACACCAGCAGACCAACCACGAGAGATTTACAAAAATGTTTTGAAACGAGTGGAGTAGCATACCCTAATAAGTATAAAGTATTGCCTACAGGGGAAGAATTAAACACAGAGGTTAAAATTATCTTACTGTGACTATGCTTCGCCTCATGTCTACATCCCCTCTTGCCAAATGGCAACCATCACACTAACCTGATCCAAAGTTAGGTTTACAGTCAGGGTTACTTAGCTCACATACAAAAGTGCTTTATGTGCTTAAAAACACATTTAAAATGCTAAATATTATTACTAGCAGTGGCACTATAATTAAATTGTGACACAGAGAGTTGCTCTCGTTGCTGTTAACGAAGAAAAAAAGTCTGTTTAGATGAGTCATGTAATGTTTTTATCTCTAAAGAGGTTTTACTGAAATGATAGAAATGTATTTTATTATGACAAATTGTACAACTATATTGGATAGCTAATTTTTGTATTTCATAATATTAACCCTTTGCAGGTAGAATGTTCGCTGTTGTTGCTGTTATTAGCTTGTTTGTTTGAAATTGTCTGAAGGCTTCTTCCATGAAGTACCTACCTGCGATATAATAACAGCAATGACAGAATTAAATAGTGCATCTCCAGAGTCCCTATCCTATGAGAAAAAGACCTGGCTTCCGTTTTTCAAAAATGTGTGTCTTTGAACATGTGTGGGTGGCTTCCCGCTTTTGGCATAAAGTCATTTTCTTTTTAAAGTATGAAATATCAAGGCAGTCCCACAGATCTTTACTCAGATGAAGAGCATTCAGATGGATCGCAGTCTGAAAGATAGATTCTGAAAGGAGAGCTCAGCCCCACCTGAGTCTGTCAACTTCAGAATTTCTTTCACATACAAAGTACACATGCTTACCCCTTGTTTCCTGTTCCTAGTGGAGGCAGAGTACAGTTACAGCATGCAAAAAGCTGCTGAGGAAAACTAGCCTTTATCATAACCCCACTAATGCTAATTAGCATGGCTGCATATGATATGTATACATGTAATATAAACAAAATCAAATCACTTCCATTTTAATTCTGCAAGGCTCTGAAAAAGCTTCAGTCACAGCGGCGACTTCTTGGCTAAACACAATGAAAGGCAATAACATGTTCAATTTTTGCAAACAATTGGGCAGAAGAATAAATACATGTTTTGTTTTGTATCTCTACTTCTACAAGTGCTATAGACCCTCTTTTTCAAAATGAAATCTGGAGACCCACACCAGCCAGTAGAGTAAATATACCCCATCTACACAGGTAAAATCTGGACAACGGGGAGTTATCGCAACCCTGCATCACTGCACACAGGCATTTTCATGATGCACTGCAGCCTCAGATTCCTGTGATGGAGAGAACATTGCAGAACAGTGGTGTTGTTTTGTAAAATCTGTGTATAGAATAGACAATTATTGCTAGAAGATTAGAAGTTTGGATAAGAGGGATCATGCGTTTAGAAACACTATTTATTCTCCCTTAACAATCTTGCCAAATTGCTAAGTATCTCTTTTTCTTAGGGAAACTAAATGCACCCAGTGAGTTGGGCACCTGGATACGAAGCTAGATGTTGGGAATCTGCTGTGCCTCCTCAGAGAAGAGCCAGCCTCTGTAGCTTTGGGCAAGCTGCACAGACTCAGGGGACCCCCAGAATAAAGGTATAGCAAACCATTTCTGAGTATTCTGTGTTTGAAAACCCCTGGAAAAGGTCACCCTAAGTCAGAACCAGCTTGATGGCACAAGGTTATTATTCTTAACAATAAATCACTGAGAATAATTAGGAGGAACTCTTTCAGAAGATTGAGACATATGCCAGCAGACGCCATGCCTTTTTCGCTTTCTTTCTCTTTTTCTGTCCTTACCAGTTCCTTGGTAATAATGTTGTAGCCTAGATGGATAAACATCAGTTACAGAGACACTAAGAAGACATTAAAAATGTTGGACTCTGGCTCCATAAACTAAGAAGATATTAAAAATGTTGGACTCTGGCTCCATAAACATCTTTGTAGTACAGCATCATTCCTTACGGTAGCCATATACAAAGTGGAAATAGCCACAACGATATCCAATATCTGGTAGGAGATTAACAACACCAATAAGAAACATCTGGCTATATCCCAAGATATCTGAAGAAAGATCCACCTGTTTTAAGCCATGCCCCCACTCATGCTTGAACAATATATTTATGAATAAATGAAAATGTTGCAACACCATCAATAAGCCTCCTTTATCTTGACTCAACTGTGAACCAAGCCCAAATAAGCATTACGTCCTTGGAACTTCCCACTGTAAAAATGGTTGTAGCCACAGGAAGTGTCAGGTATAGACTAGTCAGAAAGCAGAGGATGACTGGGAGCTGAGGAATTCCAGGGAAGCTCCAAGTGACGGCTTCTCCCTCCTCTTCATTGTTCTGCTTCTCATCACCTCATGGAAAACGACGGCTTCTAGGTCTGAAAGGTCTTATGCACGACTCTTACATGCATCAACATGTGATTTGTTGCCTGGGCCCATGTCTGACTGGACTACCCAGTACTGTATCTCGCTTCCAGTACTGGATATTTCCAAAACCTTAAAAAAGCACTTTTAAAAAATCTTAATGGAAAATTATTATTTTAGAAAAAATTATTCTATACTGTTACCAAAACCCTAGGGTATGCTTAGTGAAGCGAAAGCATATGTGTGCTTCCCTCTTTATGAAAAACAATTGTATCTGTCCCCGCCTCCCTCCCCCATGCTTCAGAAATTCGTCCTATTCTAGAATGAAAGATGATTGAGAAATATCTCTGAGGAAGTAGACTCTGTCCAGCAAATGCCCAAATTATAATGTGTGCTTTTGTTTTCAAAGTGGCACAAGAAATTATTTGTTCCCAAAGACTGAACAAGCTACGGTGGTGGTGTTCATTGATTTTGAAGGGAGTAGCCTAAATGTCCCACCTACAAGGCTGGAACACACCAAACGCTTTTCTTTCTGTGCTCATTCCTTCCACCCATCTCTGTCCTTACCTTTGGGTTGTAATTCTGTGCTGGAACTTTGTGTCTCGGGATCTGACAACCAGTTTCCATATTGTGCTTCCATTGCCATACCTCTTGGCTTCGCTGGTTTTAATAGGAGACTGTGCTTTCCTCCCTTTCAGCTTCACTCTCTAAGCACGCCACTACTATATGCCAGTTCTCAGTTCACTTAGCCTGACTAGCCTTAGTTTCTGTTCTTTCTTTTAGCAGCAGTGCTCCATGTACCACAATGTAAATAGTCATTGAAGCTTGTCCGGCATCTGCCAATAAGCTGCTTCTTACTATTACATACCCTGCTGCGTTACCATTTACATGAAGATCTACCAACACTAACATCTAAATTGACAGAAGCAATGATTCTGTCATCCTGCATCAAGTACGTAGCAGGTTATTGTGTACAAAATTACAAAACCATCTCCAATATTATAATTCTGCAATCCACACAGCTGCCATGAGTACTGTACTAGCAGATCTACATAAATCTATAGCAGATCACCACTACTAGTGCTTCATTTGCACACTACTGTAAAATGGTACTTTTCAGTGTACTTAGATACTACAGTGATGAGGCCAGTGTCTGGAACTCCTAGGTTCGAGCTCCCGCTCAGTCATGAAGCTCACAGGGTGACATTGGGCCAATCGCAATCTCTCAGCTTAAGTCATCTCACAAGGTGGTTGTTTTAATGAGAAAACTGGGGAGGGGTATTCTTGAGCTCCTTCAAGAAAATGGTGGATGTAAATGTAATAAATGCACATTAAAAATCACAAGAGCTCCATTCCCACAGCATTACTGGAAAACCTACATTGATTTCTAATTGCAGGAATACCATTTTTCAAAATATACACAAAAGTCTTGCTCTATAACATTTTTCTCATTTCCTTCATTTAACAGAAGAGGGATATGAAATACGGTTTGCCTGATTCCTTGGCGATCTTGAGTTTTAAAGTCATAATGGGCAGAGGAAGGTATAGCGCTGGCACAGCAGCAAGTACACCTAGAAGAATGGAGGCCAGATATCTGAAGCCTGCCCCTTGTTCGAGCTTTGATGCCAGAGGCCAGATGTAAGGTAACTTGCTCAGCCAACCCTCCGCTCTATCCCTAATTTTGTTGAATGCCAGATCCACACTAAATAAAACCCAACTAATTCAGGACTTAATCCTGGATGATTTAATAGATCTGGTTTGCATTACTGAGACCTTGGTGGGGTGCAGAGGGTGGTGTAGACCTTTCACTAATCTGTCCACCATCAGGACAGACTGGAGGGTTGGGGAAGGAGAGTCACCATCTGAGACCTGGGTGGGTGCAGAGGGCAGTGTAGACCTTTCACTAATCTGCCCACCCAGATATTCCATCCACCATCAGGACAGACTGGAGGATTGGGGAAGGTGAGTCACCATCATTTATAAAAACACCTAAGAGGTTGTCAGGCTCTCTGCCTTGATTATCCCAGGCCTTGAGGCCCTCCATGTGTCAGTGGGGACCAGGGATGGATTTGGGATGGTGCTCCCCATGATCCAGCAGTTTACCGTGCTCCCTGGACAGATCCAGCACTCTCCTTTCTGGAGCTGGTGGATTTCATCTCAGCAGCGGCACTGAAATCCCCCAGACTACTTGTTCTGGGTGACTTCAGTGTCCATGCCAAGGTTGGGGCCACAGGCCCAGCACTTCACTTCTTGGAAGCCCTGGCTTCCTTGGACATGTCCCAACTTGTTACCATCCCTACCCTTGTGGCAGGTCATACACTACAGCTGGTATTCTCAACAGATCAGAGAGAGGGTGGACCAATGGTGACCAACTTGATATTGGTCCCCTTGTCATGGTTGGACCACCACCTAATAAAATGCAACCTCTCAGTGGCACTCCCCCCCTGCCGGTGGGGAGAAGGGACTCATTAAGATGGTCTGCCCCTGCAGGCTATTGAATCCTGTTGGATTCCAAGATGCAATGCAGGGGATACCGGCTGATCTAATTGGCACTCCTGTCGAAGCTCTGGTGGATGAATGGTATGTGGCAGCCACCAGGGCAGCTGACATGATCGGTCTTAAATGCCCCCTCCAGTCCCAACCCCAGCCAGCTGCTTGGTATAACCGGCAGCTATGGGTGTTGAAGCAAAACAGGAGGAGGCTAGAAGGCATTTGGAGACAGGCCCTGATGGCAGCTAATTTAAATGCTGCAAAAATCGCATCAAACATTTATCTGGCCAAAGTGAAGGTTATAAAAACATCTTACTTCATTCTCCGGATAAATGAAGTTGAACTGTTCCGCAATGTACACAATTTATCCAGAATTGGTCATAGTGACAGGCCTCCCAGTAGCATCTCCTGTTGACCAATCTGCGGCCTTTTTAAAACACAAAGTGGAGGCCATCTGCCAGGACCTAGACCTCTCCTCTTTATCAGTAGATTGTGCCAAGACGTAATAAGCATCATCTTGCACAGTAATCTTAATACAATTTCAGCCCGTGCCATCAGTTGAGGTTGACACTGTAGGGCTGCCACGACCTCACTAGACCCTTGCCTTGCCTAGCTCTTGAAAGCGGCTAGACTGTTAACAACTGAGTGGGCAGAGGCCATTATTAATGGGTCTTTCCTTGAGGGAAAGGTTCCCCTTGCACTCAAGGAGACACTCATGAAGCCAATTTGGAAAAAGTTCAACCTAGCGGCTGATGATGTTAACAACTACTGCCCAGTCTCCAACATCCCCTTGATAAGGTAAAATGACTATTCCAGGCTGTAGCAAGAAGGGACATCTGTTTAAAACGTCACTAATATGTGCAGGATTTTTTTTTAAAACACACACACACATACACACACATTGTACCTTGATTGTTTCTGGCCATGGGCCTTTACAAAGGCAGACTTACATAAAAATGGTTAAAATCAAACGATGCCTCAGAGGTCAATAAACCCGTTCTGGGAATGGTGGCATAGCGTACAATGTCAAAGTCACTACAGTATATTCAACAATATACCAAAAATGACTTCCATGAAGCAAGATTCTTACCTATACACTCACCTTATTGTGTGTGTTAGCCCTGATTTCTATTAAATGCACCTCAGGACATGTCCTGAGCACTCAGGAATGAATACTGCAATTTCAAGAACTCAGCATGGGTTTTTCATAGTAACTCATGCCAGACTAATCTCTCTTTTTCAGCAGAGACACACTCTTGACAAGGCTTTTGACAAGGACACTGGTGACATTCTAGGGGCGGAGCTATTAAGAAACATAGATGTGTAGCTAGCAGATAGGCCATCCTCAAAGAGTGTTCCCTTATCATCCTGGAGAGAAATAACAAGAGGGGTGCCACAGGGATTTTGTCCTGGCCCAGTGTTGATCACCATCTTTATAAATAATTTGGATTAGGGCATAGAGGGGATGCTAATCAAATTTGTAAATGACACCAAAGGAGAAGGAAGAATTAATGCTCCAAAAGACAGAATCAGGATTAAAGATGACCAAAACACATTGGAGAATTGGGTTAAAACTAATACAGTAAAAATATTTTCAATGGGGGGGGGGAGTGGGAGTAAAATCCTGCATCTAAACAGGAAAACCCAAATGTACAAATATGAGTGATAGTACAACAGTACTATTAGCAGCAATACTTGTGAAAATGTTTTAGGAGCCTTTCTAGACTACAGGCTTAATGTGAGTCAATACTGTGATACAGCATCAAAAAAGTATCCAGATCAAGTGAAGTTATAGTACCACTCTATGCTGCCTTGATCAAACTTCACTTGGAATACTCTGTTTAGTTTTGGGCACCACAGTTTTAAAAGGATATTGACAGGAAGATGTCCAGGATGGTAAAACCTCTGAAAACCAAACTCCATGAGAAATAGCTAAGGGAGCTGGATATGTTTAGCCTGGAGAAGAAAAGACAGAACAATATGATAGGCATCTTCCAATATCTGAAGGTCTGTCATGTGGAAAACAGAGGAAGCTTGTTTTCTGCAGTGCCAAAGGGTAGGACCCAAAGTAATGGATTCAAGGGAGATTTTGTCAAAATTTAGAAAGACTTTTCTTTTTTTAAAAATTATTTTTTTTGGTATGTTTAACATAACAATATAAACTTAAACTACACTAAAAAAGAAAAAAAGTTTAAAATGAGCAAAGCAGAACCAAGAGAACAAAACAAAACAAACAGACATACAAAAGGTCATTAGAATACAAAATAGTATGGTATTGTATACATTCACAATACTGTAAACTCTTATGCATTTACAATGAGTCAATGAAGGGCTTTCATGTATCTACACAGATATCCTCACAGAGTTGTTTCCTTTATGATATTTGTTCAAAAGAGGCTAATTGCCACAGGTCTTCCAACCATTGTGGGAAGGGTGGAGGATGATAATCTTTCCAGGCTTAGAAAGAACTTTCTGACAGTCAGAGCTGTTTTGACAGGGGCATGGCCTACTCACCTCATTGGAGGCTTTGACAGAGAGTTTAGATGGCCACCTGCCAGCGATACTTCAGGTGTGAGTTTCCTGCTTTGGCAGAGGACTGGCCTCAGTGACTCCTAGGGTCCATTCCAGCTGTACAGTTCTATGAGTCTATGACCAGACAGAGTAGTTATTCCATATTGATCCATTCTCTCTGTACTACATAGTTTTAGATCATACTGGTTATGTGACTCACGTGCCTGAGATTCTTTTAGCCCAAGATGCTGCATGTTGCCTATGCACACAGTGGGTGGTATTAGCGATGTTTCACCTCTAGCACCACCATCTTTACCCACCATCTTCTTCTGCCAACACCCTCATCTTTTTCTTTGACTTTTACACTCTATTTTATACTTCATTCCTGTCCACTCACTACTGCCTGTCCTAAGTGAATATAAACTACTGTATAGGATTTGGAGACACAGGTTTCTCGATGATTTTTGTTATAAACGTGTTTAATGCTTCTGTTGCATACAGTTGTATATTCAACCCTTAAAGAAAATTGCTGGCTGGAGAGCTCAGTGGCTTAGGTATCTGGCTGAGATGCCAGAGGTTGGGAGTTGGATTCCCCACGGTGCCTCCTGTGAATACTGTATAGCCAGCCCATGTGGCCTTGGGCAAGCTGCACAGTCCCAGGGCTCCTCCAGAAGAAGGGAATGGTAAACAACTTCTGAGTATTCTCTACCTGGAAAACCTTTAAAAAGGTTGCTGTAAGTCAGAATTGACTTGATATTATTATTCTTCAAAAACTGCAGGCA